ACTTTTACATAAGACAGAACAATCCTGTTCAAATGAGGTATTTAGGTTTGATTTAGGTTTATGAGGAGGTTGAGTGTGGCGTACTTTTAATTTCGAATAAGCCAGCGTGTGCGCTTTTCTGTGTTTAAAATCTGATTTGTTAAAAATCCATCATCTTCACTGCCTGATTTAGATACACTATTTACATTTAGCAGTTGCTTTTGTCCAAAGCGACTTACAATAGAGGATTTATTTAATGATTCAACAGGAAGAGACAATACATACAAGTGCTAGTTCATTAATTCATTTTCTTTTCAGCTTAGTCCCTTTATTAATCTGGGGTCGCCACAGCGGAATGAACCGCCAACTTTAGCGCGTTTTACGCAGTGGATTCCCTTCCAGCCGCAACCCATCTCTGGGAAACATCCATACGCACTCATACACTACGGACAATTTAGCACACCCAATTCACCTATAGCGCATGTCTTTGGACTGTGGGGCAACCGGAGCACCAGGAGGAATCCCACGCAAACGCGAGAACATGCAAACTCCACACAGAAACGGCAACTGACCCAGACGAGGCTCAAACCATCGACCTTGTTGTGAGGCGACAGTACTACCTATTATGCCACCACACCGCTTGCTAGTTACTTAAAGTAATTTGTTTATGCTCAGAGAATTTAGACTAGAAGTTTTTTGAGAGAGTTTTTTCCTAGACTAACTGACAAAAGTCTCGTCTTCGATCCCAGTTGGAAGAGCAACAAAAATACCTTCCAGTTGATCGTTTGGAAAAGTGACAGAAGGTAGAAGGTCTGACAGAAGGTCATTTTTCCAATGAATCATCTGTTGAACTGCATCCCAATCAACACAAATACTGCAGAAGACCGATTGGAACCCGAATGGACAAGATTCTTACAGAAATCAGTCAAGTTTGGTGAGGGAATAATCATGGTTTGGGGTTATATTCAGTATGGGGTCGTGCGAGAGATTTGCAGAGTTGATGACAACATCAACAGCCTGAGGTGTCAAGACATTTGTGCTGCCCATTACATTACAAACCACAGGAGAGGACAAATTCTTCAGCAGGATAGCGCTCCTTCTCATACTTCAACCTCCACATCAAAGTTCCTGTTCAAAGATGTATGCATGCAGTCCTCCAAGCTCATGGGATTTATACACAATATTAAATCTTTTTCCACTGCAGCATGACTTTATATTCTATACTGTTCAGTATTTCTGTTAAGTGACAAGACTTTTGTCTAAGCAAAGTCAGACCTTACTGTCGTAATTAAATATTTTAAAATCAAGGCATGATTATATTTTATTTTGGTAAAATAACTGTAATAGAGGCCTTTGTCTTTCATCAAAGCCACTTCTGATACCAAATGATCAACTAGAGGCCAAGTTATGATTTGTTGTTCCTAAAACTTGAATAGGCGACAAGACTTTTGTCAGGTGTATTGGTGGTTTTGGTATTATTCACCAAGGTTCAGGTGTTCTCAGAAGAGATGGGTTTTTATTTCCATTTGAAGGATACTAGTGTATCCACAGTCCGAGTAGGAATGAAAAGATCATTGCACCAGCCAGGAACATTAAATGAAAAGGTTTTGGAAAGGAACTTATACCTTCTCTGTGATGGCACCACAAGTCAGTGCTCACACTCCAACCGGAGGCTCCTGGAGGGGATGTACACCTTCAGGAGCAGGTAACTTGATTGGATTTGAACTTGGTTCGAGTTTCAATCAATAACCAATGTAGAGAGATAAAGAGAGCTGTTACACAAGCTCTCTTTGGCTCATTGAAGACTAGACGAGCTGCAATGTTTTAGATCATCTGTAGAGGCTTGAGAATGAAGGGTGGGAGACCATTGCAGTAGTCCAGCCTTGAAATGACAAGAGCTTGGACTAAAAGTTGTGCAGCATGATCCATTAAGAAGAGCCTAATTTTTCAAATGTTAAAAAGTGCAAACCTGCAAGATTGAGCAGGTTGAAGTGGGTATCAAACTGCACAAGAAGTACTGCATTAAAACACATGGGCTGCGTCCGAGCCCGCCTACTACTCAGTAGGTACTGCATTTGAATTTAAATGTACTACTCGGCCGTTAGAAAAGTACGTTCTATACAGTATGAATGTGAAAAGTATGAATGGAATTTGGACGTACTACATCCGCCATTTTGTCATGGTCACGTGACCTACCTGCATCAGTTGCGTCGCTTTACTTCCATTCATGAATTCGCTCGCGGGGCATTATGGGATAGCGCAGCATGCATGGGATGCGCACTCTGGAATCTCGCCGGAAGTAGTAAGTCATGCGGGTACTTTTCGCATACTGATTTTCTAATTCTATAAATTCGGACATACTACTCGGCTCGCATACTGATTTTGGCGTACTATATAGTATGTAAATATGCGGTTTCGGACGCAGCCATGGTTTCGTGCCTTTTTTTTTTTTTTTTATGGAAATGTATGTTACCACAGCATTTTCAATGGATTTTCTGCGCTCCTGATGGATTACATACTGTTTAACGCTTGAAGAACTAAATTAATGCTGACGTCTATTTAGCTGATTATATTTTAATTAACTAACATTATTGATGCTGTAAAAGGAACCTTATGAAATTGAAAATAGCCACATAAACATTAGCAGTGGCTAAAAAACATTTGCCCTGCATATAACCCATTGAGAATTGAACCCCTAGCATTATTGGCTTGTGGAAAGCGGATAGCAAGACTGATTTGTACTACATTATGTTTGTGTATTTTGCAGTATGTCCTTGGCATCGTCTCTCTAATAGTATTACCTTTCACACTAGCTCACAGTTAATAGGGAATAACATGGTTTAATGCAATCCCTGCCGTAAAGAAATGGCTTATTTCAGCCTAATCTGGTTTTAAACTAATATAAACATCCACCAACCACATTATTAGGAACATCTTGCTTATACCAATTTGGACTATATTTTGCCTTCAGAACTGTCTTAATTCTTTGGGCAGAGATTAAGCAAAGTCCTGGAAACATTCCTCATAGATTTAGCTTGTCGGTATGATAGAGTCACACAATTGCTGCAGGTTTTCCATATGCACATCCATGATGAATTTTCAATCAAGCAAATCCAAAGGTGTCCGTTAAACTAGTGAGAAAATATTGCATGAGTGAACTCATTGCCATGTTTTAAGAGAAGCTTGAGATCATTTGAGCTTTGTGATGTAAACGCAACTACAGACTCAGCACACCTTCAAAGCAGTCCAATAGGTGCGTTATTGTCAAAAAGACACAAGTAAGATGAAGTGATGAGCAATGTACGGGGAAAAAAATTAAAACATTTTGGTCAACATCATCAGGCTTTGTCCTCACAAACGGAAGTTTTCAAAAGTGCAGTTGTTTTATACACTGGTTGGCTCAGTTGAGCCAGCTGGCACTTCTGTGTGGAGTTTGCATGCTCTCCTTGTGTTGGCGTGGGTGTCCTCCGGGTGCTCATTTCCCCCACAATTTAAAGACATGTACTTTAGGTGAATTTGGTAAAACAAAAATTGGCCATATTGTGAGTGCATGTGTGAAAGTAAGAGTGTAGGGGTGTTTCCCAGTACTGGGTTGCAGCTGGACGGGCATCCGCTGCGTAAAACATATGCTGGAATAGTTGTCTGCTCATTCTGCTGTGACAACCCCAGATAAGTAACGGATTAAGCTGAAGGAAAATGAATGAATGAATCAATAGTATCTGGATGCAGCCTTTATGATGCAAGCTGAGACTGCATCACTCAGCGATGCAATGTCAGACTCAATGCACTCAATGTAGTGAGTGACGTCACTGTGACGGGTAGGGTTAGGGGTGGGGTTAAGTGAGCGCATTAAAAAGCATTGGATGCAGCTCAGATTGCACTACACCAAGTCTGCAGCCAGACCCCTCTCGAATGAATGGCTGTTTCTCCATATGAATTTCAGAATCACTTTCAGATAAATCAGGCCAGGAAAGGTTTTCCCCAACCTTCGGGTACAGTGTGGTCATGTGGACACTACAACTGGAGTTTTTGCCTCATGATGTCAGCGTACTTGCTGTTTTCTCCTTTCTGATTGGCCAACACAGCTGGGTTCACACCAAAAGTGGAAGACATGATTGAGACAAATTCTGCACATTTGCGGCAAACGAATCACATATTCTGTGTCGATTGCATTGAGGAACAGTAATTTTGCATTGACTTGAATGGATTGTACGGTAACACTTTATTTTGATGGTCTATTTGAGTATTAGTAGACTGTCTGCTTAATATCTGTTGATACAGCCAATCAACAGACCTTTAACTGACTATAAGAAACTTTCCAAGTAGATGTCAACTTACACTAACCCTAACCTAACAGTCTACTTATAGTCTAATGAGAATTAGTTGGCATGTAGATGCAACGTGGCTTAAATTCAACAAACGGACCATCAAAATAAAGCATGACCCAATGTACTTATTGCCGCCTGTTGGTTCAATGTGCCTTAACATTTATCACAGTGCGTTTTGCAATTTCAGGTGGACAAAAAAAAAAAAATCATTTCTAAAAAAAACAAGGTTAACAACAATATCTTTGTACTTGTGGACTGGAAGCATTCCTTATTTAAGGAGTCGCGTGATGATTAAGTAGATCACATGATCAAAACTGAATAAAATAAAATAAAATAAAATTACATTAAATTACATTACATTACATTACATTAAAATTAAATTAAATTAAATTAAATTAAATTAAATTAAATTAAATTAAATTAAATTAAATTAAATTAAATTAAATTAAATTAAATTACAATGCTTTTGGTTATTTTCACAGATGTGTAAACGCAGATTTCTTTTAAAATGTTGTCCTAAGTGTGAAACTTTTTTATTTTTTTTTATTTTTGGCGACATCTTTTTTCATGGATCCCAGTTTTACTAGTTTGTTTTTATGCAACTCTCTGTCTGTCTGTCTTTCTTTTAGTATATCTATAGTTCATGCATAGTAAAAATCTACTCCTGTGTTCTCTTTTTTTTGTTTGTAACAGGAAGACGTCGGCGCTGGGAGAATTTGTTAGGACCTGTTCTTCCCTCTCAGATCACTGCTGTGACTTCACTCGCTGCTCCTGGAGTTACTCTACTCACTGGAAACTGGAAGAAGCAGAGAACAGCGGGTGAGATAACACACACGTAAAACTAGGCATTTGGAAGTATGCCAACATGATCTCATTAGTATTCATAGGTATTGGTATTTAAAGGTTAGAAATGAATACTTTTATTCAGCAAGGATGTGTTCGATTGATCAAAAGTGAGAGTAAATGAACATAGTAGGCATTTAGTGTTATTTTAAACGTTTTATTCATCTACAAATCCTGGAGGGGAAAAAAATATTAAATTGTCTGGTATTGTTAACATTTTAAAACACAATAACAGACAATTTTATAATAAAATCATGAAGACAATGGTGTAATGATGCTGGAAACTAAGCTTTGACCTCATATGAATAATTATATTGTACTTACATCATAATTTAATCCCAATAATATGTTGCAAGATTAATGCTGATGTGTTTTTTTATTGAATAAATGGAGGCTTGACAGCATAAGTGGTTTTTGTCTAAACAATACCACTAAAACATCAAGCTCATGTACATTAGTGTGCTATGGTCATGTTAGCTGCATATCCTTGTAAAAAGTCACGTTTTAAAGTAAAAGTCTAACCATAAATTATCATTTTAACAGTTTTTACTAGTACACTACGTGACAAAAGTCTTGTCTTCCATCTCAGTAATAAGAGCAATAAATAACACCTTAACTTCTAGTTGATCCTTTGGAAAAGTGACAGAAGGTAGATTTTTCAGATGAATCATCTGTTAAACTGCATCCCAATCATCACAAATACAGCAGAAGACCTACTGGAACCCGCATGGACCCAAGATTCTCACAGAAATCAGTCAAGTTTGGTCAAGAAAAAATCATGGTTTGGGGTTACATTCATTATTGAGGCATGCGAGTGATCTGCAGAGTGGATGGCAACATCAACAGCCTGTGGTATAAAGACATTTGTGCTGCTGCTGCTGTGCAAATTCTTCAGCAGGATAGCGCTCCTTCTCATACTTCAGCCTCCACAACAAAGTGTAATCTAGAGGCATTTGCCTTTCTTATAAGTCACTTCTGATACCAAATGATCAACTAGAAGTCAAGTTATTATTTGTTGTTCCAAAATGTGGATAGGCGACAAGACTTTTGTCAGGTAGTGTAGTTTTTTTAATTAGTAGTTATGATATAGTAAATGAATCATATTAGGTTTAATGTCTGAAGTCCATTTTTCTATACCTTTACAAACCAAATACATAAATAAATGTAGCCCTGGTGTATGTGCACAGAGAGATGTATTGATAAACCTTTAAGCATTATTTTGTCCAATCTGTCCAGTAATAAAAATTGTTTAAAAAACAAAATGATTATATTTATTGTAACGTCTACTTTAAAACCTTTTTCTTTAAAAGCATAATTTAATCCTGGCCCAGCAAATTTGTGGTATTATCTAATGGCGTTATTGCTCTAAAGTGAGTAATTGTTTTCTAAACTGCATACATTTTTTGACAACTTTATTGCAAAAATCTTAACCCTAGAGGCATTTTTAAAGGGGACTATAATTAAAAGACATCTAAAAAACTGTCATAGACACACGCTGTTAAGAGAAAAGGTTGAAAAGCATGCACTTGCTTCTGCAATCATCAAATTCACAGCACTTTACACAAGATAAATTTGACCCAGAACACTTCAGGTAATAAAACCGATCCTGATTATGATGACAAAAATATCCAACCATCACAATCTTTTCTTCAATTCTGAGAATCTGTGGGACCCGCATGGGACTGCTTTGATAACCGCATTCAAGGTTTCTTGTAGTTTGGAAAAGTGAAGGTTTTAAAACCGCTAGTCAGAATTATTAGTTTCCCTGAATTATTCGCCCCCTGTTTATTTTGTTCCCCAATTTCTGTTTGACGGAGAGAAGATTTGCTCAACACATTTCTAAAAATAATAGTTTAATTAACTCATTTCTAATAACTGATTTATTTTATCTTTGTCATGATGACAGTAAATATTATTTCACTAAATATTTTTCAAGACATTTCTATACAGCTTAAAGTGACATTTAAAGTCTAGACTTAGGTTAAGTAGGCAGGTTAGGGTAATTAGACAAGTTATTGTATAACGATGGTTTGTTCTGTAGACTATTAACAACAAATTAGCTTAAAGGGGCTAATAATTGACCTTAAATTTGTGTTAAAAAAATAACACTGCTTTTATTCTAGCCAAAATAAAACAAAGAAGACTTTCTCCAAATGAAAAAAATATTATCAGACATACTGTGAAAATTTCCTTGCTCTGTTAAACATCATTTGGGAAACAAAAATAAAATTCAAAGTGGGGCTAATAATTCTGACTTCAACTGCATACGCACTAGGGTTGTAACAATATACCGGTATGACGGTCTACCACAATTTGAACGTGCACGATTATCATACCATGAACAATTGCATATCAACGGTTTTAACCCTTAAAGACCGAGACAGCCGCCCGCGGCTAAAAATAATTATTGCTCTTAAATGTTTAATAACTTTTGATCCGCTGATCCGATTCATACAATTCAAAGATTGGCATAAAGAAGAGAATCTCAGCTTTCCAGTGCTGTATCACATAACATTCGCGGATGCGGCTCCGGAATCAGTGCGATTACGTCATCAAAATTTGACAACGCTGATTTGACAAAGAAACGCTCGTCACTGTGTCTCCGGACAAACCAGACATGATACATTGATGCATTGTCCCTCCTCCATGCCCAGATTGGTTCAAACTCGCTATATCACAACCAATAAGCATAGGTTTCACTTTTGTTTGTGGACCAACAGTGAGCTTTTTGAACAACACGGAATGAGAGATAGGCATACATTTCTGCGCGGCTAAATAAAACGCAAAAAAAAAAAAAAAAGTTTTGCATGAAATAATTCTCATACTAAGTACTTTTGCATGCACAGCAGCACAGAAACATGACAAAACAGTGACACAGCAAAGACGAACTGCTGCTCTTGCTTTTTTCAAAAGACGCAAATGAAGGTGCAGCTGTTTGTCTGCATTGCATCTAGTTTCGTTATGTAACTATTTATAGTATAGTAAATATTTATATCTATTTTTTTACAGAGGATTTGCACCATGTTTATTTGGACTTTGACACATTATTTATTATTTTTTTATTTTTTTATTTGTTCATTGTACAAGTGGACACATTCTCTCACCTCAGCGGTCAAGATTAAGTCCTGAAAATCTCAACATGCTTACATTTCTTCATCACAACCTAGACTGAAAAAAACAACGCTTTAAATACATGTTTACAGCCATAAACTTAATATTGCACTTTTGGTCTCCCATTTATCCTGCTTATAAGGAAGGACAGTTTAAGTTTATTTTTGTCTAATCTTAAAAGACCTTGCTTGTTTATTCCTTCTAATTTAATTTATTAAAATGGGAAATTTTTCAGTTTATTTTTATAAAAGACTTTTATAGTTCTATTAAAATGGTTCTTTCAAAAGTTTGTTGAAATAAAACCTTTGTTCAGTCAGAAAACGTGTTCTTATTCTTTTCAGGGTCTTTGCTATGAGAATTACTATTTAATACCGTATACCGCGAAACCGTCAAACCGTGGAATTGTTTTAGACGATTATCATACCGTAAAAAATTCATGCGGTTACAACCCTAATACGCACACATACATACACATAAAACAAACTCCCAAACCAAAAATAAAAGAAATTAACCAAATCTGTATTCAAGGTTAAGTAAGGGTAAAATTAAGTCGGCTAAAAAGAAATAAATAATAGTATTAGACAAATAAATTAAAATATTCGAAACCGTGCTGAAAGAGGTCTTCGACAATAAAGAAAAGTTATTAGAAGCCCAAACAGGGAACCTTAAACAATTAATATAAAGAAAAAAAAGAAGAAAAAAAACATACTAAAATAACAAAGAGGAAAATGAATGAAGGAAGGAAGGAAGGAAGGAAGGAAGGAAGGAAGGAAGGAAGAAAGGAAGGAAGGAAGGAAGGAAGGAAGGAAGGAAGGAAGGAAGGAAGGAAGGAAGGAAGGAAGGGAGGGAGGGAGGGAGGGAGGGAGGAAGGAAGGGAGGAAGGAAGGAAGGAAGGAAGGAAGGAAGGAAGGAAGGAAGGAAGGAAGGAAGGAAGGAAGGAAGGAAGGAAGGAAGGAAGGAAGGAAGGGCCTGGACCAAAAGTATTTGCTTTTGATGTCTCAACTCATTTTTTTTTTCTAGTACACTTTTAACTAACCACAAAGGGTACCAAAGTGCTGTACATAAAAAACAAACATATACAGAACCAAAATACATAAACTCACAACATATGATTAAAAGCTAAAGAAAATAAGTGTGCTTTCAGTGACCTCAGAAAGACTCAAAAGTTGGAGCTGTTCTTAAAGAGAATGGAAGAAGTCTCCTTGATTTAGATTAGTAAACTCTTAACTTTTTCCAAAGTTTGGGATCAAAGTCTGATGGTGCCTTCTCTAACAGCATAGATGCGAGCAGTGGACAATTCCAAATACACAATATCAATAAAAGTTAGAATCCAATGATGGTGATTAAGAGAATGTGGAGGCTTCCATCTTGTCGCAACTATTTTCTTGGCTGCTGCCAAGCCAGCTAAAAACACTCGCTTCTGAATTTTGTTAAGCTGGATATCAGAAAAATCATTTAAAATGAAAATAGAGGGGGCGAGAGAGACAGAAATGTTTATTATTGAAGACAAATTTTAGTTTCGTTTTATTTGAAGTGTTTTTTTTTTACTACTGGTCAGCTCATGATTCAGCAAATCACTGTTTTTGAAACTAATGAAGATAGCTCAAGTCAATGATTTATTTTAATTATTTAGTCTGCCATGTTTACTGTTCTAACATATTGTTTAAACGTTTCTTAAAATAAAACTTATTGTGGTCAATGGGGGAAACAAGTTGTTGTTTTTTTACTCAGACATTGAACAAGAACATATTTTAGAGCAATAAATCACAATATTGTGATATTTTTATCCAGTTATCATACCATCAGAATCTTATACCGGCCCATGCCTAGAGTCGGTGCAGTTTATCCATTCCCCAGCATGTCCC